CTTGATTCTGCGACGTGGCTCCAGCTCGATTCAACTGGACAATCATTTTGACTTCTATCCACAAGAGTAATTGCATATGAAAGCGGCATAGAATAGGCCTTCAACTGAAAGAATAATGAAACAGACACCAAAGCCCAGGAAAAGTGATATGATTCTTGAGGTTGGAGTGCTGTGCTGTGCTTTAGAGATGAATGGATATATCGACGATGAAGGTGAGGAATCTTGACTATAGGTGAAAGCTCTAAAAACTAATGGGTGCTCTACAGCAAGACCAGGATATGAGACAACGACTTGACCCAAAGGACAACTACTGAGAGAAGTTCCTTGATGATAAAATGGAGGGAAACTCTATGAGCTAGGCGGGCGCTAGCAGGTGCAAGAAGGTAATGTGCGTGAGCAAGGCGAGGGTGTGCGAGATGTGCATGTGAGCAGGAGGTTTGAGGAGCGCGCACGCGTAGCGAAAGTGCATTCCGAGCGATAAGAAAAAGGACTCCTTAAGGAGTAGTGGAAGCGCGAGTGTTGATCAATGGAAGTATAAGCTGATTTCAAGTAAGGAGGTGTACTATACACTTTTTGCAGTATACTGAGATAAGGGGGAAGTAAGTACCAGAACCAAAAGAGCTCTCCTTCTATTTAAGAAGAGAGATTACGCTATGCGGCGTGCTTCTGAGCATGGACCCGAACCGAGTAACCATATCAACTCTATATATGTAAGCACGGACATCGGACCGAAGGTTCATTAATTAAGTGGAGAGGATAAGAATAACGCACCAGTAAATCAGTAAGGACATGGAACAGATGGACGGATGATAGGAGTGCGGAGGCCAAAAGGGACGCATGCAGAAGGCACGAGTGTGTGTATGATGCGCGAGTGAGGCACGTATGTGGGGCATGCGCACGAGAGCACAAATGACTGGTCCTTCAGACAAGAGCTGGTATATGTAGGAATTTCAGTAGATAGTAAGGCCGTATATCTGGCATTGAGAGGCGCGAGTCTCTACAACGGGTATGGTGTTGAGTTTCCTGAAGGAAAGTCGAGCTTCAGAGGTCAAGTTGGCTAGACTATAGACATGAGTAAATGATCCCGGCAGGCTTACTCTCCCACACCGGAGTGTGTGGGGCTGACACACAAGTGCAACTAGATGTCAAGCAGTGATTCTATGAACTGGTAAGGACTATACATGCGGTGGACCAGCTACTTATATATGTATGGCTACTGCGCACAGACCGTGCAACCTAAACAGGCAGGCAGACGATAAGACTATCCTAAGTAGATTAGTGGTAACGATTCAAACTCCAACATTTCTGACCCGCGGTGTTACCCGTGCAGAACCCTATGCATAGTGAGTATACTGTTCATTATCTTTATGCCTTGCAAGACTGATATGTCTGCTTTTGTAGCAAGGAGCGGCCTTTTTTATGCTCATGATGAATCTACAGGTTCAAGATGTTTCCACCATACATTACATGTTGGTTGCCTTATCATTCACATGCTCGCTGGAGGGACTATTCTACCACTGTTTTTTCTGGAAATCTGATGCAGATATTGAGATGCATGAAAGGATCAACCAGAGGGTAGGGTGATTTTCCTGGCGGAGCCACTGTATCGCGCTCTCGCTGATCCAAAAAAATTCACTGAGATGAAGAAACTGTTCCAGTTGTCGCATCAAAAAGTGATTCACATTAGTCTCGTTTGCATGGCTAACCTTGCTGCCATGGGCTCTTGTGGATATCTCGCAGGCAGTAAGCGAAGCTTTCTGGTTTAGATTCAAAATTTGTGCTGACATGATATTTCATCAGGTTTGATTTTGATTGCTCTGGAAGGTAAAGCATTTATCTCTCATGCGGCGGCTAGTGCAGTCGCCCTGCTCTTCCATAAAATGACAGTGGTGGACAATGAACTAGTGTCCCTAATCTTGAATTCATTAGCTTCCATTCTATATTTCAGCATGGCCATGTGTTACATCAGTATGCAACATTAATCACTGGGGTTCTTTTTTGGTAGATTGTATGGTTGCCGCAGCCCATGAGCCATACACCTTTCATCTACGTTCACTTTTTGTTCATTATTTCACGATTCTTTGATACCCTTTCTTTTTAATGAAAACTGAGTTATTCTCCTTTCAAGTTCATCTTCTAAGTACTCTGAATTTCTTCACCTATGAAACTACATCTTAGTTACTGACATTTATTAGCTAGTCATTCCCATATTTCGGGGAGCAGTGATGAAACATTAAAGCATCATATTTTGGAATAACACCATGCTCACCTTCATCAGGAAAACCCTCCCAGGGAAAAATGTTATAAAATGTGATAATTTCCTCAAATTTCCTCAAATTATGGGCTTTAGGAAAATTAGAAGAATTATGCAGGCTAGACAGACTTTTTTACCTCCTTCTCCGTCAATTATAATTATCAAAAATTAGATGATATTTCACGCGAAAATGTTGTGAATTGCAGAAAGTATTTGTTGAATTCTGGTTTGCAAATCACGCACATCAGACAATGTTACAAGAAAAAACAACTGATATTTGATTACATAGAAGATACACATAAAAGTAATTACTGTATAGCTACAATTGACCGCAAATACCTAAGTGGATGAGCATAAGCTAATAAAGCTACATTAGTGAAACGCGCAAGTGGATTTATAGAAAGGATGTACAGTGACCCCTGGAAGGAGGATTGACATGCTGTGAATGGTAGACGACGATGATGACGACGACGATCAGCATGGCTCGAGCTCGAAGGAGGATCAACACACTCACCTGCTGCGAATGGCAGACAACAACCTGGATCAGCATAGCTCGAGCTCAGAGGAGGTTCGACATGCTCACTTCCTGCGAATGGCAGACAATGACTTGTATCAGCGTGGCGGTGAAGGTACAACAATTCAGATGGTGAGTCTGAACAATGTGTTGGGTCTTGCAGAACCTAGCTGCTATTCGACCCTAAAGGGTTTCTGGACCAGGCTCAAGGCTCAGAGTAGAGGAAATATCATAAAAACTTCTGAGCACTCAGACTCATACTGGTAACTGGTAAAAAGATTGCTTGCTTATGTAAGCTACAAAAGTGCCAACATAAGGTATGTAAGGTAAAAACAGTCTCTACAAGCCCAGCCAGAAATGAATCCCTACAGCGGTTGCTCAAATGACGATCAACACACTCACTTCCTGCGAACAGTGGACAATGACCTATATCAACATGGCAGTTGCTCAAACAATGATTGACACACTCACTTCCTGCAAGCGGTGGATGGCGACTTGTGGCAGTTGCTCAAACAATGATCAACACACTCACTTCCTATGAACAGCGGACAACGACTTGGATCAGCATGGTGGTTGCTCGAATGACGATTGACACACTCACCCACTGTGAACAGCAAACAATGACTTGGATCAGTGTGGCTCTTGCTGGAATGAGGATCAACACACTCACTTCCTGTGAACAGCGGGCAACGACTTGGATGAAGTTGGATCAGTGTGGCTCTTGCTCAAACAAGGACCAACACACTCACAATCCAATGATGAGCACGGAAGGACGACTATGAACTACCTAGTTTGTAGTTACAAATGTTAGATAGAACTTTTAAAAAAACCTAACACATACCTATCAGCTTGATGGTTGAGGCTGACAACGTTGAACATTGAGGAATGAGGGATTGACGTCAGAAGTTCAAAAAATTTTCAAACCAAAGTCATGCGAGCCAAACAAACACTACATCCTACCCTCCATCTCATGCTTCCTGTCTTGGCCCTCCTTCCACTCTTCTGGCGCTCTCCAGTGTCCTCTGCACATGTTCGAGCCACATCAACATTTTGCTGGCGTGTGCTGGGCATGTGCGCTAAACACTGGTGGCTGCTGGGATCAGGTGGGGCGTCCCATGGTTCTGGATGATTGTAATGATTTTTGATTGAATTCGTATTTTGATAGACACACTTTTGTATATTCAAGTGATTTCTGACATTTTGTGATATTTGCATTTAACATTATCATCTTCTAGCAATTTTATTCCTAATTCTTGTAATTAGATAGAATTATCTGAATTAGAACTTTTAGGGAAAATTATAACATTTTTTCCCCAGGAGGGTTTTCCTGATGAACTTGATGCATCACCTTGCTTTGCCTGCATGTATGCCAGGCAAAAGGTCAGCTGACACATGTAGTCAATTTACAACAAACAAGTACTAGGAGGCATCATCGATATTGATATCAGCCTCATTTCAATTTCAAATTTGATCATTAAACTGCAGAATTTTGGAATACCAGGCAGAATCATGTGAGATGCCGTACAAAGTGGTAATCCGATGGAATGGTGGGACGGGCATGGACTACCAAGGCCAAACCTCTATAGCAGGAGGCTATCTATTGAGGTCCAACTACGGCAACACAGCGTAGGACTACAGTCTACAAGTCAATGCGCCAGGACCTGCACCAGACTCCCTTACTGCAGCGAAGGTACCCAATAAAAACATGTTTTATGGTATAAGGTGTGCATTCAGTTCAATGAGGGAATTGCCTGGCTCAAGGGAAAGGACTGTCTTAGGATCTGGTGCGAGCTCATAGTGGGGAAATCAACCAACATTCAAAATGAGTCTACAAGGCCGTATTTTATCTACAAGAGAGTAAAGGTCCTTGGTTATTATGAAAGTGAAGGTTTAGTGAGACGGAGAATGGTGGCGCTGAGCCTGACAGGGTAGGAGTAATGGAAATGAGTGAGAGTATGTTAGTTTTGAATAAAAGATGGTAATATGCAGCTCGCTGTGCACAGGAATAATGAGAACCGTTGGGCACTTGACTGTTTTTGGAGCAAAGGAATGAAACTAAAAGAGAGTGACGAGAAAGAGTTTGGTGATAAATCCAGGGTATAGTATGAATGAGGGTGAAAGACCGAGCTGGTTGTTGAGAATAACGAGATAGTGAAGGTAAGAACAGAGAATGTGTCTGCGCGACTCGGACGCGAAGCATAACTAGTGCTGCCGTGGTCCGGTTCAGTCCGTTCAGAGGGTCCTGGACGAGAACTGAGAACCGGACCACAGAGAACCGTTCTCTGTGGTCCGGTTCGGTTTTTTTCTGGTCCACACTCGAACCGAACCTGAAAATTTTCAGTGGCAAGCGTGAAAAAAATACATTGAAATACTACTTTACACATCAAGTAGCTACTCCAATGACATAGCTACATACTCATCTCTGCCTCTGTAGTTGCTGAAGATGCTGACATGCCGGGAGGAACATGAAAGTAGGAAGTGAGGATGGTGCAGTTCTTGGCAATGAAGGCTGCACGCTGGACGTTTAGACAGAGGATGGCATCATTTCAGAACAGCGAGAAAACACCTCACATCCTGAGTGAGAGGCGGTGGGTGAGATTTACCTGCAGGTAGTACATATAAATATTAAGTTAGAAACATGAAAAAAAAACAATTGTAAAAAGGACTCACTAAGACACTGTGAACGGCAGGCAACAACTTTGATCAGCAGCAAATTGCAGACAACGACTTCGATCAGCATGGCTCAAGTCGAAGGAGGATCGACACACTTATTCACTGTGAACGGTGGGCAACAACTTGGATCAGCATGGCTCGAGCTCGAAGGAGGATTGACAGACTCACTCACTGCAACTCCCCATCCAGAGTCAAGTCTACATGCGCTGCATGCGAGCGAGAATGAGTGCCGCCTCTCATGCTGTTCCCATCTCCGGCACCCTGGTGTCGTCCGCAAGTGTTCATGCTACATCAGCACTTGCTGGCGTGTGTTGGGCATTTGCGCATGGTGCTGGTGGCATTGCATCAGTGAACTGAGAGGATCCTGAGAAAGATATATATTACATTATAAAGTAGATAATCACCAACATCAGTACAATTCTGCTACCAGTCATCCCATTGTAGTCACGTGGTCTGAACATTTGTCGGTCATTGCCAAAGCGGCTTTCCATTAAAATGGCTTAGATGGCCTTGAACCTGAAGCACATATGAGTCAAACTGAGAATGGACTTGCAGGGTGAAGGTGCTGGACTATTGTATTTTACTTGCTATGATGTCACTATACTTCAACCTTGTCATTGACGCATCTTCTAAGTCTAGATTTGCACGGATCAATGGTCATTTATGAACAACACAAATTTCTTCTAGAATACATAGATATATTCGGCAAAGCGTAATTGTATCGGTCTATAGGTCTCATGACTACCATATCACGGACTCATGAATTCACTGATGTGGACACAGTGTGGTGGTCATCAGCATGGCTCGAGCTCGAACAAGGATTGACACTCACGAACTGCGAATGGTGGGCAACAATTTGGATCAGCATGGTTCGAAAATCTTGTGAGACAGGTGTCCTGTGATAGTTAAAAAAATGAGAGTTTGATTGATTAGTACTAACCTTCAAAAAGGCTAAAGGTAGCCTAATTAACCAATAGTGCAAATCCAGAAGACGACACTTTGACGTCGTCATAGTTGAAGTCGAAGTCGACAATGGGTTTGGGGTTCGGAAATGGTTTGGGAAGGTCGAACCAGAACTGGACCATTTGGGAAGATCTAGAACCGAGAACCGTTCTATGCTCCTAGTTCAAAGATTGACAATTGTCATGAGACATTGAACTTTCAAGAACACACATGAATATATTAAAGAGCATGTAGATAACAGGCAACAGGCAACAGGCAACAGGCAACAGGCAACAGGCAACAGGTAACAGGTAACGAGTGACAGGCATGTAAGTAGACAAGTAAGTCTGAACGAAGGGCAAGTAAGGTAATTGTAGTGTTTATTTGGGCAAAGCCCTGAAGGGCTCTAGACCGAAACACACCTTGAGGCTCCTGAAGAAGGGAGAAAGCTGAGCTGAGATACCCTAGTATAAGGAGCGAACGATGCAGCCAGCATCAGCTGCACATATTACAGTGACCTATCTCCATATAATACAAGGGAATGGACGTGCATAATATCCCATATGATATGGGCCAGCGGACCATGGGCCCATGATAAAAATATCCTCGACTATGACAGATGGGCCGGGAGGCAAATTATTCCCAATGGAGGTGGGTGGGCCCATGCAGGGAATATATGGAGTAGATGAGTGGGCCGATGTACATGAATATTAGGTAGACGGGTGGGCCGAGGTAGTTGGATATTATGCAGATGGGTGTATTAAGGTAGATGTGTATGAGATAGATGGGTAGGTACTTGTTATCACATTCACGGGTGGGCCCAGACACATATTAAATTAGACGGGTGGGCCGAGGGTATTATAAAATATTGTATCAGATGGGTGGGCTGAGAGTGGTATAAAATATAGATGGGTGGGCCCATGTGTATCATAATTGTAGACATGATGGAGCTGAGGTAGTTGTACATCAACCAAATCAGAGGAGGTAATAAATCAAAGTTACCAAGTACCCGGAGCAGCAGGTGATCTCCTGACATGGCCTTTGATGGTGCACAGATTGTCTTGCAAATTTTGGAATCCAGGGTGCGAAGCTTGTGTTGCCCTATGAGAAGCCAAGTTCCGATTACCAACCTTTGGGTCAACCATACTCAGAGGAGGTAATAAATTAAAGTTACTGAGTTCCTGGAGCAGCAGGTGATCTCCTGACATGGCCTTTGATGGTGCACAGGTTGTCTTGCAGAATTTGGAATCTGGGGTGTGAAGCTTGTGTTGCCCTATGAGACGCCAAGTTCCAACCACCCAAATTTGGGTCAACCATACTGACTTCCGAGTTCTGGGACCCGGGAGTCAACAAATGAATATCTGATAACCAGCACACTTCCAATCAGGTAGTATGTCATTGAGCAATGGATCATCCAAGGGGTCCCTTATCAGACTCGGTAGTCAATATAGGCAAATGATAATGAAACATGAAAGTTGTTATTATGCTATTTTTCAAACCCAAGACCCGAAAATATGTATGCAACATGTCTATTTTTCACTTGTTGCACAAATCACTGAGTTTTGAGTGCTGAAACCTGAAACTCAAAACCCGGTGTAACACTCGGGCTGGCACTGGACATGTATCTGGTGATAATCATGTTTTATACTCCTCGACACACTTCTGACCTTCCGAAAGTTCCGCGCATCTGTCCGAGTCGTCCGAAGGTCGTCCGTCCGATTCTGAGGCCTTTCCTAGCTTTCCCAATCCTCCGTACCATGTCCTGTTCTAGTCCATTTGACTTCGCTGGTGCATTTCTCATTATTGATTACCTGTTATTGATTATGTCTAGGGGCACGTATGTCGAAAACACTTGCTAATATGTATAGATATGCTCCTCATACGTTATTACACGTATATCTTCGTAGTGGTTTGCCTTGAGTCTTATTACATTTTGGATGTCTTATCTCGCTACAGTTTTCGCCTACACGGATTCCGGACTTTCACGTCATAGGATATATTCTGGCTCGCTAGGTACTCGCAGGACACTTCACTTCCCTTGCTTCGAGTCATAGTTAGTAGTTGTCACTTCCGGGTTTTAGTACTTCGCAATCGATCTTTGTTCATTTGGAACGATTGTTTGGTGTCACTGCTGCCATTTTTCTATTAAAATCCTTAAAGTCTTTCGACGAGCTTCACTAGTTACACTACGCAAAGTCCTATACTTCGACAACCGCTGTAAGACTTTACCGGAAACCTTGCCGTTTCATCAGAAGCTCGCCGGAAGCTTCGCGCAACCTCGGACCTTTGTTTCTAGATGTCGGACCTATACCAGGCGCTTCGGACAATTCATCAGATACTTCGGACTGTTCTTCAGATCTCTGAACGTACCAGAGGTATACCTCTTTTCTCTCACCTTCGATCTTAACAAGATATCCCTTGCTTTTATATTGAGAGATAATTCTACAGGCAGTCCCTTGGGACGAACATCTCACTCGCACTTTGGAGTCTTAAGGTAAACACCCTTAGTATAAGCCCACTAGAAATCAACTCTTTACACCGGCATGCAACATGTTGATTTTTCATTTATATTACACAGATCATCAAGTTCTGAGTGCTGAGGGCTGAAACACAAACCTTGAGACCCGAAAATATGTATGCAACATTTCCATTTTTCACTTGTTGCACAAATCACCAAGTTTCAAGTGCCAAAACCTGAAACTCAAAACCAGGTGTGCAACATGTCCATTGTTCAATTATATTACACAAATCATCAAGTTCCAAGTGCCGAGACCCGGGACCCAAACCCCGAGACCCAAGACCCAAAAATATGTACACAACATGTCCATTTTTCACTCATTGCACAAATCACTGAGTTGTGAGTGCCGAAACCTGAAACTCAAAACCCGGCGTGCAACATGTTGATTTTTCATTTACATTACACAAATCATCGAGTTCTGAGTGCCGAGACCTGAGACCCGAAAATATGTATGCAACATTTCCATTTTTCACTTGTTGCACAAATCACTGAGTTTTGAGTGCTGAAACATGAAACTCAAAACCCGGTGTGCAACATGTTGATTTTTCATTTACATTACACAAATCATCAAGTTCCGAGTGCCGAGACTCGAGACCCGAAAATATGTATGCAACATTTCCATTTTTCACTTGTTGCACAAATCACCGAGTTTTGAGTGCCAAAACTCAAAACACGGTGTGCAACATGTTGATTTTTCATTTACATTACACAAATCATCGAGTTCCGAGTGCCGAGGGCCGAACCCCAAACCCCGAGACCCGAAAATATGTGCGCAACATGTCCATTTTTTACTTGTTGCACAAATCACCGAGTTTTGAGTGCTGAAACCTGAAACTCAAAACCCGGCATGCAACATGTTGATTTTTCATTTACATTACACAAATCATCAAGTTCTGAGTGCCGAGACCCGAGACCCGAACCCCGAGACCCGAAAATATGTATGCAACGTGTCCATTTTTCACTTGTTGCACAAATCACCGAGTTTTGAGTGCTGAAACCCGAAACTCAAAACCGGGTGTGCAACATGTCCATTGTTCAATTATATTACACAAGTCATCGAGTTCCGAGTTCCGAGGGCCGAAACCCAAACCCTGAAAATATGTGCACAACATGTCCATTTTTCACTCACTGCACAAATCACCGAGTTTTGAGTGCTGAAACCCAAAACTTGAAACCCGGCATGCAACATGTTTATTTTTCATTTACATTACACAAATCATTGAGTTCCAAGTGCTTTGGGTCATGTCCATTTTTCACTCATTGCACAAATCACCAAGTGTCGAGTGTCGAAACCTGAAACCCGGTACTTCAAATGGACACAAATTGTATTTGTATGTATTATCCATTGGTGTAGGGCTCAAATAACTTGGGAATTGTATTTGTCAGTACTCAGTACTCAGTGCTTGGTACTTGGTACTTGGTACTCGGTGATTGGTACTCAGTGATTGGTGATTGGTGGTCAGTGGTCGGTACTCGAGACTCAGGTAGTCAATATAGGCAAATGATAATGAAAAATGACAGTTGTAGTCCATGTCAAGGTGAGTGTCTTGGTAGTCTTTCCTTGTCATTCGGCAAAACATCAGCAATAATGAAAAAATGAAAGTTGTTATTATGCTTAACTTCCTTACCGAAGGTTGTAGTCCAAGTCCAGGTGAGTGTAGTGGTAGTCTTTTCTTGTCAATTGGTTATCTTGTTACTCATTACGCAGTACTCAGTACATGGTAATTGGTACTCAGTATTTGGTTGTGATACTCAGTATCCAGGAATCAGTAGTCAGCTTAATGAAGGTTGTAGTCCGAGTCTAGGTGAGTTTATTTGTAGTCTTTTCTCGTCCATTGGTTACCATGTGACCAAGATATAAGCTAAAGAAATCCAAAACATCAATAATGACAAATGAAATACATGTGTGCAGTAAGTGAGTCTAAAGATAAAAGAATGAATATTAATAGCGAGACTTGCACATTATGTCGAGATATACAACATAACAAGCCTGTGATGTGATCAGAGACCTGGAATAACACCCATATACATCCATTATAATAGCTTAAAAGCTTAGAAAGATTCATGAAGGATTGATGTAATGATAGGCAAAATGACATATGTGTGGAGAGTGACAATAGACATCTTTTATACGAAGTCACATTTATATATGATTCAGGCCGAAAATATCATTACAAATAACTTTCATTTTTCATTATTGCCGATGTTTCAGATTTCTTTAGCTTATATCTCAGTCAAATGATAACTGATGGACAAGAAAAGACTACCAATACACTCCCCTAGACTCGGACTACAACCTTCGGTAAGGAAGTTAAGCGTAATAACAACTTTCATTTTTCATTATCATTTGCCTATATTGGCTACCAACCACCAACCACCAACCACCAACCACCAACTACTGAGTACCGAGTACCGAGCACTGACAAATACAATTCCCAAGTTATTTGAACCTTACACCAATGGATAATACATACAAATATAGAATTCATGTCCATTTGAAGTACTGGGTTTCGGGTTTCGGCACTCGGCACTTGGTAATTTGTGCAATGAGTAGATGGGCATGTGGCATACATGTTTTTGGGCTTCAGGTTTCAGGATTCGGCCCTCAGCACTCAATGATCTGTGTAATGTAAATGAACAATGAACATGTTGCACACCCGGTTTTGAGTTTTGGGTTTCGGCACTTGAAACTTGGTGATCAGTGCAACAAGTGAAAAATGGAAATGTTGCATACATATTTTCAGGTCTTGGGCTTTCCGGTGAAATTGTGGTCCCGGATGAACCAGGCAACCTCCTGCCAGAATATGATTC